AAAATTTTGCACTTGGGGCGCCTGGGTGGCTTAGTTGGTTAAGCGTCCGACTTTCGCTTAGGTCATGATCTCACGGTTCGTGGGTTCGAGCCCCGCGTCGGGCTCTGTGCTGACTGCCAGCTCAGAGCCTGGAGCCTGTTTCAGTCTGTGACTCCCTCTCTCTCTGACCCTCCCCTGCTCACGCTGTCTCTCTCTCTCTCTCCTAGAAATAAATAAAAAAATATTAAAAAAAAAATTTGCACTTAACTTTAAATATTTTTTTAATTTTTTAAAATGTTTATTTTTGAGAGAGAGAGACAGAGACAGACAGTCAGAGGGGTGAGAGGCAGAAAGAAGGGGAGACACAGAATCCAAAGCCAGCTCCAGGCTCTGAGCCATCAGCACAGAGCCCGACACAGGGCTTGAACTCATGAACCATGAGATCATGACTTGAGGCAAAGTCGGATGCTCAACCGACTGAACCACCCAGGTGCCCCCAAATTTTGCATTCTGCTTTAAAAATTAGTTTTAAATTTTAGAAGAGTTGCATTGGTTTAAAATTACAGAACAATACACCATTCCTGTAGCTATTTAATAATTCAGAAATACATAAAGGAAACCATGGGGTACAAAAACTGTACTATCTCACAAAGGAGGCAGGTAGAAGGTTGTCAAAGGTGACAGCAAAGGGAGTCCCAGGACAATTGCTGTGTATCAGGCATAAAAAATAACCAGCTCAGGATGGAATATGGGGTCAGATGCTTTGACAGGCAAGCCTCTAGAAGAATATAAAGTTGATAAATTATTTAACAGATTTAACTAGGTGGAAAATTATATTGAGAATCACTTTTACAGAGATAATGGAGGGCATGCGAATATAGATGCCCAATGAAAACAAAGCAAAGAGGAAAATGAGGCAATTAACTCTAAAAAACTAAAAATTATACAAGAAGGGAAATGTAATCATAGTTACTTCTTGGCTCAGCAATTAACAGTATTTTACAGTTATAATGATGAAAGCATCTGAATATGTGTTTAGCCAAAATTGAGATGTCTTCATATTCGGAGGATGGGGAAAGTAAAGAATGAATATAAACAGATAAAAAGTCAATAGATAATGTGGTGTGTGTGTGTGTGTGTGTGTGTAGAAGGGGCAGTATGGGAGAGGCACACATAAAGCGAGAGACCGCAGTTAGTTGTTACATGCATTTAAAAAATTTAAGTTTATTTATTTATTTTGAGAGCGAGCGAGCACACAAGCAGGGGAGGGGCAAAGAGAAGGAGAGACAGAGTCCCAAGCAGGCTCTACACCATCAGCACAGAGACCGATGTAGAGCTCGAACTCACAATGTGTGAGATCATGACCTGAGCTGAGATCAAGAGTCAGATGCCTAACCAACTGCACCACCCAGCCGCCCCAGTTCTTATATGCATTTTAAAGCTCTATATGAACTACTTATAGATAAAACTAATAAAAATTAATCAAAAGCAAAAAAAAAGTAGCATAACTACATATTCTGACATTGGAGAGTTGTTTAAGAGATAGTCTTTCTTTAAATAATATTTTTTTAAGTAATCTTTACACCCAGTGTGGGGCTCGAACCCGCAACCCCAAGATCAAGAATTGCATACTAGGAGCACCTGGGTGGCTGAGTCGGGGAAGCATCCGACTCTTGATTTTGGCTCAGGCCACGATCTCAGAGTTTGTGAGATCGAGCTTCACCTGGGTCTCTGTCTTTGCGTGTTGTCGGCACAGAGCCTGGTTGGGATTCTCTCTCTCTTCTCCCTCTCTCTCTCTCAAAATAAATAAATAAACATTAAAACAGAGTTTCATACTCTAACACCTGAGCCAGCCAAGCACCCCTGAAGAGATATTCTTAAGCAAAAAAAAAAAAAAAAAAAATTCTGAAAAATATTTCATTTTGGTGAAAAAGTTATACCTTTAATAGGGGACCATTTGTGGTAGTTATGTTGGGGATTGTACAGAATTTCTGTTTGTGGAATGTTTGAATTATTTATAATGAGCACGTATTTATTATTATTTTTTTATTTATTTCTAGGAGAGAGAGAGAGAAAGAGACAGCATGAGCAGGGGTGGGTCAGAGAGAGAGGGAGATACAGACTCTGAAATAGGCTCCAGGCTCTGAGCTGGCCATCAGCACAGAGCCCGACGCGGGGCTCGAACCCACGAACCGCGAGATCATGACCTAAGCGAAAGTTGGACGCTTAACCGACTAAGCCACCCAGGCACCCCTATTATTTTTGTGATCAGAAGAAAACACGTTGAAAAACAGTGTAGTAGAATCACAGCAGCTAGAGGGTGGATACAGAGCTCACCCCGTGTCCTCCCACAGGACCCCGATTTAACAGCCATTCCTGGACAAATGTAGTTTCATAAGAGCTTCAGGGTCCCATTGAGAGGTCCTAGTGTGTCAGTGGAGCACAGAATCTGAGAACAGCCACGTTGCAAAGGGTGGGAACAATTTCACTTTACTCACATCACCCCAAGCTGGCGCCGCTCAGTGCTTAGAGAGACTCCCTCAGTCCATTCCTCCCATAGGAAATACAGTGAAATGAGTGTCCTGCTCCCCCAGCCTTTCCCAATGGGCCTGAGAGGCTTGCTTCTGTCCCCCAGAATGCGTAGGGACATTGCATTTCTGTCTCATTGAGGGGCAGCTAAGAACAAAGCAAAGGGGCTGGGGCTCGTGGCAACTGACATGTGGATCTCAAAAACCAGTCTATGGGCCCTGCCAGTCAGCTGGCCCCCCAGTGGAATCCCACAGCCGGCTCACATACAGCCATGCAGGTGGTCCCCCATAGGGGCCCCCACAGGGCACCTCACGCGTGGACCCTGCAAGTACAATGCTCACATACACACAGTTCGCGGCAGCCAGCCTAGATCCCAGCAGCTGGCTTTGGCTCTGCAGGATCAGGAGAAAGCACATTACCCCCGGATTGCTCCTTCACCAGGGAAGGAGAGGTAGGAGTTTGCACCCATTATCCTGACACATCTGTGTGCTGCTTTGAGGAAAATGGACCTGGTGACTCAGCACTTAGCGTGGCTCTGCACAGTTGGGAGAAAGGGTGTAAAATTTCAGTTATGCATCAGGAATGAGTCCCAGAGAGATCCACTGTACATCCTAGTGCCTATAATTAGCAATATCATACTTAAAATATTTCTAATAGGGTAGGTCTTATGTTAAGTGTTCTCATCACATCAAAACCTAAAACATAAAAATAAAAGAGGCTAGAGGAAACTTCTGATGATGCCAGATATGTTTATAGTGCTGACTGTGGTCACAGTTTCACAAATGCATACTTATCTCCAAACTCATCAAGTTGTGTGCCATTAAGTACGTACAGCTTTTTGTATGTCAATCACACATCAATAAAGTGTTGTAGAAAAACATTTTTTAAAAGATCTTAAACACACAGAAACATGAGAGAATTCTTCCCTGGGGATAAAAAAAAAAAGTGAAGTTTTAAAAGTTGAGCAGAGTAGAAAATTTGGGAATGATGTGGAACCGGGCCCCAGAAAATATAGCCTTTCTCCTTTCTTGTGCTGAGGGTTTATGAGGAGACTCTAAGAGTTCAGGAGGACGCAGGGACAGTAATAGCAAAACAGTGACTCTCATATTTATTGATCTCTTTCAATACACTAAGGGCTGTAGCCACGTTGTCTTTAATTCTTCCAGAACTCCACTACATCTTCATTTATTTATTTAAAAAGTATCTGTTGAACATTGTTGTCAGCATTTATGTATTTATGTATGTATGTATGTATTTATTTATTTATTTTTATATGTCTCTATTTTATTTTTAGAGACAGAGACAGAGCGAGCGGGGGAGGGGCAGAGAGAGAGGGAGACACAGAGTCTGAAGCAGGCTCCAGGCTCTGAGCTGTTAGCACAGAGCCCGATGCAGGGCTCGAACCCACTGACTGTGAGATCATGACCTGAGCTGAAGTCAGATGCTTAACAGACTGAGCCACCCAGGTGCCTCACCATTTATTTATTTTTGAGAGACAGAGAGAGCACCAGCAGGGTGCAGGAGTGGGGCAGGGAGAGAAGTCATCTCCAAGCTCCAAGCTGTCAGTACAGAGCCAGATGCGGGGCTCGAACTCACAAACCATGAGATCATGACCTGAGCCGAAGTCAGTCACTTAACCAACCAAGCCACCCAGGAGTCCTTGTTGAACATTTCCTATGTGCTAATTAGTGTGCTAGGTGCTCAGGATACAGAGATAAAATCATCATGGTCCCTGCTCCTGGACAGCGTACAAAATAGTAGGAGAAAGAGACGTTAAATATAAATAAACATTCAATGGCATGTAATAGATGACATGGAAGGTGTGACAGAGTAACAGGGGGATCCACTTCAGGGAGAGTGGTCTGAAGGTCTCTCTTGGAGAGTGACATATATGCACTGACATCTATAGAATAAGGAGGAAGCAGGCAGGCAGAGAAGGATCTTGAGGCAGATGTGGGTAAACTCCTCCAAGGAGCTGATAGAGAATCAGGCCAAATCCAAGAGAGAAGGGTGACTACTGATGGCCGAGGTTGCAGATGGGCCAGGCCATACAGAGCCACGGAAACTCAGTTTCTTTCTGAGTGACTGGGAAGTCTTGCAGGGTTAATTTTAAGCAGACAAGTGAAGGGTCTGATTCATATTAAAAATATTACTCCAACTGTCTTGTGGAGAATGGACTGGAGTGAGATAAGAGCAAAAGTTGGGGAAATTTCTTTGGAGTTTACTGTAGTCCCCAGGTTGGAGATGATGGTGGGTTAATGTAGGATGGAGGTTAAAGGTTTGGAAAGAAGTGGGGCACCTGGGTGGCTCAGTCGGTTAAGTGGCCGACTTTGGCTCAGGTCATGATCTCACGGTTCGTGGGTTCAAGCCCTGCGTTAGGCTCTGTGCTGACAGCTCAGAGCCTGGAGCCTGCTTCGGATTCTGTGTCTCCCTCTCTCTCTGACCCTTCCCTGTTCATGCTTTCTCTCTCTCTCTCTTTCTGAAATAAATAAAAAACATTAAAAAAATTTTCTAAAGAAAAAAAAAGGTTTGGAAAGAAGTGGTTTGATCTAACATATATATTTGGAGGTAGAGTTCAAAGGGCCTGGAGATAAAATGGCTGAAGTCAAGGATAACTCCAGTTCCTGGTTTGAGTAACAGGCTGATCCCCATTTTTCAGTCTAGGAGACCAGAGCTCAAGAGGTTCCAGACCTTGTCCCAGGAGGTATGTCTAGGAAATGATGTATGAGGATTTGGGAATGGGTCCATCTAATTCCAGAAGCAGCATACGTAACCAACAAGCAGTACTCTCTCCCAGCAAATCAAGTTCTGCTGCTCTTGGAAGGGAGAGAATTTGTTGTCTTCTGAATTATAACTCCCTGTCAACCACAACACCATCAGTTGCCAAAGAGAAGGTCAATGTCTAGGCTTGTTCGCTGAAGCAGGCTTTGGCCTGGAGCAGATTAGAAAACGTTATTTGGATCCCATGTTGGAAATGATGTTATTCCTTAGATGTTTGACGTAGGTGAACAGGTTCTAGTCCTAAGAACTGGAAGTGATAATCCTAGATATTCAAGTTCTCCAGGCAGAAACCAAGCTGTGTTTGTTCTCTCCCGTGGGATCAGGAGAAACTGTGTCATTCCTGAATTCCTTCTGAGACTTCTCAGCAATTTAGATGACATTGCCAAGGGCAGTTGTCCTGGGAGAAATGGGTTTATTCTAATGGAAAAAAAGGAAAATAAAGCAGGTTAATAGGGACCAGAGTCTCATACTACCTCTCGTGGCTAATGAGGAGGTTTGGAGAGCACTAACTGACAGATACGGACACTGAGCTAAGGCAAAACTGAATTAAAAATTTAATTTAAACAATTTAAATTCAGGTAGGTTGAAAACTCAGTGATGGGTGGCAATCCCAATATAAGAGAACCTGTTGGTTATGTTTTGGTGATGTCCTGGTATTTGTGCATCTATCATGTAGCCCCTTTACTTTTACTTCACTTGAAAAGTTATAAGTGTGAGGAGAGAGATAAGCTGTGAGAAGAGGGGATGACCATGGGCTTACCTCGTTGAACTGATGAATTACGGAGTAAATTGTGGAGGAATCAGTGCTTTTCATAAGTGTTGGGTTATTTGTTTCCTGTAAAAAATAATCATATACATTTGACTCACACAAAGACATATTTGTGCATAGATATATTCTCAGGAAAGACAATGTGACACAGAGTGATGATGTCAACATCCTTCAGGAGGAAAAGGTAAGAGTGTGTGTGGCAAGAGGAGCTGGAGACCAAGCACCACTAGCTCTCAAGCCAGAGAAAGCTTAGTGACATTTCCTGAGGACCACACAAGAAGCACAACACCCCAGCAAACTGGTGGACTCAAGAGCCGGAGAGGGACAGAAGGTCAACCTTATTGGCAGGTGGTGTGAAGAAAAGGAAGCATTCTTTCCTGCATCTGACTCTACTGTCCTTCCTCCCTCTTAAGAATGGGCTTCCAGGGGCGCCTGGGTGGCTTAGTCGGTTAAGCGTCCGACTTTCGCTTAGGTCATGATCTCAGGGTTCGTGGGTTCGAGCCCCCGCGTCGGGCTCTGTGCTGACTGCCAGCTCAGAGCCTAGAGCCAATTTCAGAGTCTGTGTCTCCCTCTCTCTCTGACCCTCCCCTGCTCACGCTGTCTCTCTCTCTCTCTCCTAGAAATAAAATAAAAATATTAAAAAAAAAAAGAATGGACTTCTATGCCAAAATGTATAAAAGTATTGTATCTTTTGTCTTAGCTCTTCGCTAGTTACACTTGGAGGTATTGCCGGCTCCATTTAGTCCCTGTGACTCAAACTGCCCGGTCATCATGTCATTGGGTTCTCCTCAAGCCTGGAGAACTGATAAGTGGGAGGAACACCTGATTTTAAGAATGGCTCTGCTTGGAACGTGAAATACAGCAATAACAGCAGAAGTCCCCCGTGCTCATGGGTTTTGACATTTAAAACGAATTAAGAAATATTTAGGGCATTATGAAAACCTGTGAAACTTTTCAAAGTACAATTTTTTTCTTTCTTAAGACGAAGTTAGCAAATTTGCTGGAGATTAGTTTATGGGATTGTTGAGGGTGATTCATCTTGTCTTCAAGAGAGAATTGGAAAGGCAGTAGAAACATTTGAATGAGTGGGAATACCCTTCTTGCTACCTCCCTTTAAGGAGCCTACCTTGTAATGACCATGAGGAGCTGTGTGAAGGGACATTTGCTTGGGGAATCTATGATTTCTAGCTGGATCATTGCTTCCATCAGTTAGTGAATGCTGAGTTATCTTGGCTTCCTTTTCAGAAGATGGATGCTGTTATTTAGAAAGGTCCACCTGTGGGTGTTTTACTTTGGGGGTGGTGGGAAATTGCTGATGTGTGGCAGAGGAGTTCCTGGTGGCTGCCCAAGGCCATCTGTTATGTTGCAGAGGGGAGGGGAGGGTTGAAGACTGCTCATGCCTTTACTGTCTTCTACTGTTGCAAATACTTGCCCCACCTCCACCCTTCAGAGAATGTTTCTCAGTTCCCTTATTTCCCCTCCATCCAGAGTGAGAACCCCCACCCTGCTACACAATTGTGTGCTCTGGAAACTCTCATACTTAATTGAACTCTGATCCATTCAGCAAGTATTTACTGGGCTTTGTGCTTAAGGAAGAGACAGAAAAACATAATTTTCACTTCCAGGCAGTTTGTGTTTAAGCTGTAAAGGGACAAGACTTGCTGATGAGTCACACTGTTAGAGGACCATGTGAAGTAGGGTATGAGCAAACACATCATGGGGTGAGAGCCCTCGGGGCTGGCAAGGTTCCCCCCCACCAACACTGTAGCTGCTGCCACTGCCTCTCCGCTCTTCAATGGTGTGTGTCATTGGATTAATGAGATGATAGTGGTGACAAGTTTGTGAATAAAGACTCTAAAAATCATGCCAATGATGGAATATAAAGCTGAAGGGACTCACCCTGTTTGGATGAGTGACCTGAGCATACACGGTGTTCCCCGAAGAGATGGAGACATATTCTAAGTTCCTCATGTTCTCTGCTGTTAACACAGGAAGGCACAGTCAGTGTCCTGCTCTCTCGGGACCTCTGCTCACTCCACAGCACTTTTCTGCCCCAAAGAGGCAGTTGTTTGAGGCAATGCCCTTCTTTAGGGTTCATTCATTTTTTTTACAGTCTTTGAAGTTTTGGGTTGAACTAGAACCTTCTCAGCCATGTTCTCTATTTATGGCCTCATCTCTTGGGGACAAGTGATCTTGAGGCATCCTAAAGTTTCAGAGTCTCCCTCTGGATTCACATGTGGGCCAGTGAGCTCCTGGGACCAAATAGCATTGCCTCTACAAGGGCCAGAGAACCTCATTGACAAGCTTAATGGAGCCAGGTTATGTCACTTATATAGTATTAGTAAATTTCCCAAATTATATTACAGATGATTATACTATGGATGGTAATATAATATAATATAATATAATATAATATAATATAATATAACTGACAAGAAAATGGAGGCTCAGAAAGTTCAATTAACTTGGTGCAAAGTCAAACAGGAAGTGATGGAACAGGAACTCGGATGTCTGCCCTCTAACCCTGAACCTCATGTTCGTCCTCTACACATAACGTCGTGTATCTCTTACCCATGAAATGAGACTCACAGCCAGTCTGAGTCCAGAGCTGTGTTCCTGTCTCTATATCACATTTTCTTTTGGGACTGGGTCTACTCAGTGTTCAAATCCTGACTGAAAGAGTGACAGGGTCAGGCAGTTTGTCTTTGGACATTTGATACTCTAACCCTGTCCCTGTGCTGGACATGCTGGTGAATAATGGACAGTGAGCCTTTCACTGGTACCTGGTTTCTCATCAGCAGGGTGGGGAATGCCCCTAATCCAATCCCTGGGATCCTTCAGGGACAGACATGCATAGTTACGGGTCATCTCTCTGGCACCATCTGGTCTACCTGAGTAATGACATTCTGACTTCCTCCTCTCATTACCCAGCCCTCTGACCAGCCCCTTTCCTCCTCCATTAGGCTCTCCCCATCTGTTTTAGGATTGGGAGCTAAGAGTTTGCAAGCTCACCAGAACTCTGGGTTTGCTGAGCAGAGAAGTGAAAGATGCCTAAAAAATAAAATCAGGGAAATTGAAGTTTGTGAGTGTAGTAAAGAGGCCCCCACACCCTCCCCCTCGCCCACAGGTGTCTCTAGAGGATGTGGTGTGGGGGTACCTGAAGGGGAAGGGCAGCCAGGCCTTGAGGCTTGGCCGTGCATTTTCTGGAGAAAGTTAGCAAGTGTGTGGTCACATCCCAGGGACTGTCCCAGTAGACCTTCCTCCCTCCCTTTACCTGTCTTGCGCAAACAGTATTTCTTCCTCCAAAGAAATAACCCCAAGGTGAGCATACATATGAAAATAACTGCAAACACTAATATAAGCCATCCAGTATATTTATTGTTCTCATTCAAAAAATCTGAAAAAAGAAAAAAGAAGTTACGCTTGAGACACAGGGAGTGTTTCCCTCAGAGTCTCTGCTGAGCCTCTTCTAGGCCACCTTTGGGGGCTAAGTGGGCTCTGGCTCTGGGCAGCCTCTCTGGGAGTGGAAGTCCATGTGGCGGACCGGATGGGAGCCTGGTAGAGCCAGTGTGGGGAGCGGTTCTGACTTCCCAAGTACTTGGCCCCTGGGCTCCGAGTGGGCTGGAGGAGCAGGGGGAGGGAGGGAGGGAGGAGAGGCCTCTGGAGACAATGAGAGGCATGGACCTGTGGGAGGTGTTAGTCCTCTCCCAGCAGTATTTGGTGGCCTCTCTCTGAGCCCCTGTTTTGGGAAATGACCTTGGGCAGAAGGGACACACCCCACCCCAGAGCTGTTCAAGGCTCTCGGGGAGACCCGAGACAGACTGTTACCTTTGCAAAGACTCCAGGTGGAGACAGAGAAGGATAGTTTGGTGACAGGATTCTCAGCTACACAGGTGTACTCCTCTTCACCGGACTCCCTGGGGTCCCAGGACAGAGTGAGGTTTGCTTCATGTATAGTTACGTTTCCTGCGACTTCCCACCTTAATAAGTTGTTGTCATTCATATTATCCACAGAGCAGGTCAGGTGGATCTCACAGGTCCCATTCTTGGACAGCCACATGTGGTTGGCCACTTCTAAGTTCTTCAGTCGTCCTGAACGTAGAGAAAAGGCCCAGACTAAGACCAAATGGCTTGGTTGAGGCCACTGTGAAAAATACCCTTCCCACCACATAATGCTTCTGTATTCCAGCCAACACTCTACTGTATGTTATGGTCTGTCTACTCTGTAAATAATTTGACTTGTATTGCCTAACTGATGGCATCAAGGTGTGGAGTGACAAAATGATGAGGACATCAGCATGGGACAGAGTAGCCAGGGAGAGGAGTGAGTAGGGACACACGAGGGCTGTCACCAACTAGTTGCATGATTCTGGACTGCTCAATTTATTTTCTGGGCCCCAGTTTCTCCCTGGCATCCTTTCTAGTCTTGGACATTGGCCTTGTATGAAGACATTTGGGAATTTAGCTGAGGGCCAACTCTCCCTTAGCCAGGGCAGAAACCAGTAAACCAGATTCAAGAGCCCTGTTCTCTCCACCATCAGAATTCCCTAGCTGGGGAGGAAGATAAAAGCTCAGTGTCGTTGAGGAGTTGTACTTCTCACTAATCTGACGGAATGCCAGTCCTCAGTGTATCTGATGCTGGCTCCAGTGAGGACAGAGACCCCGATGTGGAATGTCAGCAAGACAAAATGGGAAATGTTGGGGATCAAAAAACTAGGGAAAGAGAAAGTGAGGAAACTGAATGAGCAAGTAATTCTGGAGAGCCAAGAAATGCCATATATTCAGGCATTTGAGAAATTTCTAAGAGCAGAGACCAGAAAATATTGGCTATTAAGATGTTAGTAGCGGGGTATCTGGGTGGCTCAGTCGGTTAAGGGTCTGACTTCAGCTCAGATCATGATCTGAGGTGCTTCACATTCTATGTCTCCCCCTCTCTCTCTCTCTCTGCCCCTCCCCCACTTGTCCTCTGTCTTTCTCTTTCAAAAATAAACATTAAAAAATATTTTTAAAAAATGTCTATAGCTGTGAATCAGTGGGGATGTGGGAGGGGTACAGAAAAGGCCCCTGAGCTGAGCTTGGCCTGAGGGTAACGATGACCCAGTAAGAAACTAAATGACCCCAATTGTCTGGTGGGAACATATTGAGGAATGCTCTAAGCTTAGTTAATGGAGTAGAGGTGGGACATATCTTGATAGGAAGGAGATTTCATGGAATGGAAAATGTTGGATTTGGAGTTAGGAAGACCTTGGTCAGACTTATGGTTTTGTCATTTCCTGGTTACATGACCATGGAGACGTTTTTAAACCTCTCCAAGCCTCAGTTTCCTTATATGTAAAACCAGGCAACAGCATCAGCTTCTCAGGTAAACATGAGCATTAAATGAGACAGTGTCCAGCACAGTAATGGCAAATATTTGGCATGAGTGTCACATTTCCCTCAACCTGTGTCTATGGCTGACCTCAAAAATCTCTCGTTAGCTTTTTTCAGTTAATAAATATAAGACTGCCTACTTGACATTTCCACTTGGATATAACGTGTCTCTTAAACTCTACATGTTCAAAAGCATTCCTGGTTTTCTCTCCCAAGCCTGCTCAGTCTGTAGCCTTCCACACCTTGGTTGATAATCACGCCTTTCCAGTCACTCAGGCCAAAAGCCCTAGAGCCTCTCCTGACTTACCTCTTCATCTCATGCTACTGCCACCACATCAGGATACCCTGCTGTCTTTACCTCCAAAGTATATCCAGAACCCAACCGCTTCTGTCTGCTACTACCACCCTCGTGCAAAGCAGCAGCATCTCTTGCTTGGATTGTCTGGTACATTGGTGTCTACTGTTGTCTCTTACAGTCTATTCTTTTTTTTTTTTTTTTTTTTTAATTTTATTTTATTTTATTTTATTT